TGATGAATTACATGGATTGTTTTTCTTATGTTGAACCATCCTTGCATACCTGTTATGAATCCCACTTGGTCACGGTGGATTATTTTTTTGATGTATCATTGGATTCTATTGGCCAGGATTTTATTCAGGATTTTTACATCTGTGTTCATGAGAGATATTGGCCTATAGTTTTCTATTTTGGTGGTGTCTTTACCTGGCTTTAGTATCAAGGTTATGTTTACTTCAAAGAAAGAATCTGGGAGAATTCCATCTTTTTCTGTTTTCTGAAATAGTTTACATATTTTTTATTACAGTTCTTCTCTGAATGTTTGATAAAATTAACTTGTAAAGCCATCTGGTCCAGAACTTTTCTGGATGGAAATTGTTTTATTACCTTTTCACTTTCTTCTTTTGTAATGGATCTGTTCAGGTGTTCAATTTTGATTTGTGTCATTTTAGGTAAGTTGTGAATTTCTAACTATTTGTCCATTTCCTTTAGGTTTTCATATTTGTTTGAGTATAATTTTTCATAATTTTTCAATATTAGCCTTTTTATTTTATTTGGTTCTGTTGTGATATTGCCCATTTCATCTTTTATTCAGATTATTTGTGTCTTTTCCTCTGATAATTTTGCTAGTGATTTGTCGATTTTATTGACCTTTTCAAAGAACCAACTCCTAGTTTGTTGATGGTTTCAATTGTTTTTCTGTTTTCTATTTCATTTATTTCTGCTCTAATTTTTATAATTTCAGGTTTTTTAGAGGGTGTTAAGTTTTCCTGCTGTTCTTTTTCAATTTGTTGGAGATGTTGGGTTTGAGAGTCAATGATCATTGTTTTCTTGCTTTTTGATGTGTTTGCTTATTGCTATAAATTGACCTCTGGTTACTGCTTTGGCTGTTTCCCCGAGGTTTTGTTATGTGGCATTTTCATTGTCGTTGTTTGATATATGTTTCAATAAACTTTTTAATTTCTATTTTTATTTCTTCTAGTACTCCGGCCATGTTCAAACAAAGTGTTGTTCAGCTTCCAAATGTATGCTTTTCCCTCCATTATCCTCTTGTTATTTATTTCTACTTTTGTAACATTGTGCTCTGATAAGATGCTTTATATTATTTCTATGTTTTTAAGTTTATATCTTGCCATGTGACCTAAAATGTGATTGATTCTGGAGAATGTTCCATGCACATTGGAGAAGAAGATGTACTGTGCTTTTTTGGGGGTGCATTAGCCTATAAATATCTATGAGACTGAATTGGTTTATTTTGTGGTTTAATTCTTCAGCATCTTTGTTGAGTTTCTTTATGGTAGTTCTATCTTTTCTTGAGAGTGGTGTGTTGAAGGCTCCAACTACTATTGTAGTTTTGTCTCTTTCCTTTTCCTGTTTTGTTAATGTTCATTTTATATATATTGCAGGTCTTTCATTTGGTGCATAAACATTTATTATTGTTATATCTTCTTGTTCTATTGACCCTTTAAGCATTATGTTGTGACCTTCCTGGTCCTTTGTTATGGTTTTTTCATTGAAATTTATTTTATCAGAGATTAATATTGCTATTCCTGCTTTTTTTTTCCTGGTTGCCATTTGCGTGGCATATTTTCCCTCACCCTTTTATTTTCAGTCTTTCTTTATCTTCATTTTTTTTCAGGTGTGTGTCTCTTGTAGACCACATATTGATGGATTTTGGGTTTTTTTATCCATTCTGCTGCTCTTTTTCTTTTCAGTGGTTCATTCAAACCATTCACATTCAGTGTCATTATTGAGATGCAGGGTTTTATTGCTATTATTTTGTTGAGTTCTTTTTGGTGGTGTTAGTTACTTTGGTCCATCCTGCTTTCTGTGGCACCTCTGTAAGAAGGACATCTCTTAGCGCTTCCTGCAATGCTTGTCTTGTTTTTACAAACTCCCTTAGGTTCTGTTTTTCTAGGAATATCTTGATCTCTCCTTCATTTTACTGATAATTTTGCTGGGTACAGTATTCTTGGTTGACAGTTGTGTTCTTTGAGTGTTTGATATATGTCATTCCACTGTCTTGTTCACATGGTTTCTCCTGAGAAATCAGTGCTTAATCTTATCTGCTTTCCCTTATAGGTTACTCTTTATTTCTCCCTTGTTTCTTTCAGATTTCTCTCCTTATTTTTGGTTCTGACAAATTTGACTATGATATTCCTTAGGTGTTTGTCTTTTAGGGTTTAATTCTATATGGTGTTTGCTCTGCTTGAATATATATTCTTTCATTCTTCATTATGCTTGGAAAGTTTTCCTCTAGTAATTCTTCTAAAACTTTTTCGGCACCTTTACTTGCTTCTTCCTGTTCTGGGATTCCAATTATGCACATGTTATTTATCTTGATGGTGTCTACATTATTCTTAGGTTTTCTTCTTTTTCATTCCTTTTTGATTCTGCTCTTTGCTTTAGCAGATCAGTGGTGACAAATCTATCTTCTATCTCACTGGTTCTGTGTTCCTTCTCTCAACTCTGTTCATCATGTTGACAGCATCTGAAACATTGGTCCTCATAGTTTGAATTGTGGTTTCTTGTTTGTCCAGGGCTTCTAATGCCTCATTTGTTTTATCTACATTGTTTTGGATTTTTTTTAAAGCTCCTACTGGTTTTTCCTTGTGGTGTCCTGTAATTCTTCAAGTTTGTCTTTCATCCATTGAAAATATCCAATCATTGTTTTTTTAAAATTCTGTGTCAGAAAGTTTCATCAGACTTTCTGGCTTCAGGAAATCCATTAATACTGTGCCACTTTTTAGGAGTGAAATCTTGCTTTGAACTTGTGTAGGAGATGAGGTAGATTGCTTCCTTTGCTTTGGTAGAGTTTTTTGTGTCTGAGGCAATAGTCACCACTCCAGAAGGAGGTGTGGCTGCTACTCTGCCTGGGTTTCTCTCAGTTCAAAAGACAAAAGGTCTGTGAAAGCAGCCTCTTCTGTCTTACAACTGCCACAGTTAGGGAGCCCAAGGTACTCTGGGCTAAAGGCAATTGATGGACTAGATGTGAGGAAACACAAGGCAGAGCACAGAGACCTGATTTGAAAACCTGGAAGCCTTGGTTTTCCCTTTAAAAATGAGCTCCAGCTTTCTTGCTCTCTTCTGATTGGGCTTAACTGGTCCCCTGTGATCCAGTCAAAGAGCACAAAGTACCTCACTCAAGTTCCAGCGTCACTCCTGGTGCATGTCAGGAGTGTTGTTCTGGGCATGAACTGGCAGTGTCAGGACTGGAGTTCTGGGCATATGACTGCGATGATGGGATTGGAATTCTAGGCTCACACTCACTCAGATTCTAACTTTCCTGCTTACCCTGGCATGTTGCTCCCAGATGGGTGCATCAGCAGCTCCCTGCCTGTCGCATACCTGGCAACAGCAAGCAGCTCCCCAGCATGAGCCTGGCACCAGGAAGCAGCTCCCCTGCAGGGGCTTTGCCTCAACAGGCAGCCCCCCGGTGTGGACCCGGTGTCAGCAGATCTTCCAGACTTTTAAAGAATATTGTAGCTTGGAACTGACCCATGGCTGACACTCCAGTGGGTTTTCAGAGGCAGTAAATTGCAAGGGTGGAGAGTGCCCACCTTTATCCCATGGAGCAGCTGATGGATTAAAACCCTACCTTAATCCCATCGAGCAGCTGATGTATTAAAACCATGTGCCTTTAGGTTGGCAGCACAACTCCTTACCATGAAGCCAAGAAGGAGAATACTTTTCAAAGTTTAAAGGGAAAAAAATGTAAAAACATATGCTGTTGTTGCCAAGTCATGCAGTTGATTCCAACTCATAGAACTCTATTGGATAGAGTAGAACTTCCATGTAGTGTTTCTTAGGCTGAAACCTTTATAGAAGTACATTGCCAGGCTTTTACCTCAGGAAGCAGCTGGTGGGCTCAAACCATTGCCCTTTCAGTTAGCAGCTAAGCAGGGAACTGCTGTGTCACCAGGACTCCTTACACATTAATAAACATTCCAACTCTTAACAATGCGCCATCATCTTTCCAAGGCTATAAATATTTTTCTAAAATCTTTATTATTTTTATTATTTTTGTGTGTGTACTGTCAAATTGGATCTAACTGGTCCAGGAGGAGATTGACCCTCCTTCTCCAGCAGAGCATCTGGTGGATTCAAACTGTGTTACCTCTGGGATTGCAGTGCAATTTCTTGCCAGTAGGCCACCAGGACTCCCTAAGGCTATAAATCTTTATGGGAAGACACTGCCTGTATTTTTACAGAGTGGTTGGTGGATTTCAACCATCCACTTTTCACCTATACTTGGACCAGGATGCAGTCATCAGAACAGAACAAGAAAATACTACATAATTCAAGATTGAGAAAGGTGTATGCCAGGGATGCATCCTATTTCCATACCTTTTCATCTGGACTTTATGAGGCATCAGGATTGGAGGAACACTCATCAACAACCTGCACTATGCAGATGACACAAGCTTGTGTGCAAAAACTAAGGACAATCTGAGACATTTGTGCAGAAGGTCAAGGACTATAGTCTTCTGTATGGATTGAAGCTCAAAATCAAGAAAACAAACAAACAAACAAAACCCCTACTAGGCTAATTGGCAGCATCATGCTATACAGTGAAGAAATTGAGATTGTAAACAGCTTCAGCTTGCTTGGTTCCACAATCGGCACTCTTGGTACCAGCAACCAGGAACCCAAACGATAAATTGCATTTGGAAAATCTGCTGTCAGGGACCTTTCCAGAGTACTAAGAGCAATGACATCAGTCTGGAGACTAAGGTGAACCTGATCCAAGTCATGATCTTCTTAATTACTTGCTATGCATTTGAGAGCTGGACAATGGATAAGGATAATAGAAGAACTGATGTCTTTGAGCTGTGGTGCTGGAGAAAAGTACTGAATATAACTTGAACCACTAAAAGAACAAACAAGTCTGTCCTGGAGAGGGTGAAACCAGACTGCTCCTTGGAGGCAAGGATTTTGAAGCTCCTTCTGAGCTACTTTGGGCATGTTGATCAGTCCTAGACATCATACTTGGAAGGGTGGAGGGATAGTGCAAGAGAGGAAGACCCTGCATGAGATGTATTAAGTCAGTGACTACTGGGGTAATAAGGTAGGTGTGTCAAAGACAACGAAAAATTGGTTCAGGATAGAGCAGGGTTCAGAGGTATTGTACATAGGATCCCTATGAATCACAAGTGACTTGATGGTGCATAACAACAACAAACTTTTCACTTAGATACACTTTATGCACTATTAGAAATTATATATATATACTAGACATTATATGTATACATCTATATGTTTATGTGCTTAAACTTTTTCTGAAAGGATGCCCAAGACACTGTGAATAGGCAAGAAAGGGGCTTGTATTTTAATTCTGTTGAATTATTTGCATTTCTCTTTGCATTGTCATCCCAAAGACATGCAATTTTAATCTATCAGTTGTTCCATGGGAGAAGAATGGGCACACCTCCTCTCATGTAATTCACTGCCTCTGAAAACTTGTTAAAGGATCAATAATGAGTTGTTTCCTCCTTGAGGGCACACAATAACACCTTATTGCATCTCAAATTTTCAACTAACAATTGTTTACAAAATTTATTGTCACCCCTCCCTACCTTACGGTAATATTTGTCTTCAGCATTTCTTATTTGAGAAAAGACCTACAGACTAATTTTGTTGAGCTTTGTTTTATCACATTTTGTTTTGCTGCGCTTCACAAATACTGTATTTTTCAGGTTGAGCAAGTCTCTTGTCAATACTTTTCCGAAATGCATGTGCTCACTTTGTGTTTCTGTGTCACATTCTGGCAATTCTCACAATATTTCAATTTTTTTATAATGCTATCACACACCAAACCCACTATTGTGAAGTAAATTCTAACTCGTGTTGTTATGTGCAGTGGAACTGAATGCGACTCATAGCCACCTTTTGACAATAGCTCTGAACCCTGCCCAGACCCTGAGCCAATCTCATTGTTTCTGACACACTTTACACAGGGTCCTTCTCTCCTGTGGGATTCCTCCATCTTTCCAAACATCATGTTCTTCTTCAAGGACTGGTCCCTTGTCTCCGTGGAGCACCTTTATTTCATTCTCTCCAGGACAAAGCTGTTTGTTTTCTTGGGAGTTCATAGTATGTTCTCCAGCACCACAACTCAAAGGCCTGGATTCTTCTTCTGACTCATAAACACTTTCTTTTATGAGACTGAAAATTTTTATAGGAGGAGACTACTCATCTTTCTTTCATAGTGACTATTGGATATGAATTGCTGATCCTTTGGCTAAAGCATAATACATTATGGACTGCATCATAATGGTACCTTAATAGACTACAGTATGTGGTACATGAAAGACCTTTGGAGGCCTAGACAGTTTTGTGCTGTGCTGCTAATTAAAAGGCTTCATTTTCCTGGTGGTTCAAATATAATAGCCAGTCTGTGAGAGACAGATGATCAGTCTCCTCCAGTTAAAATGTACATTCTCTCAAACTTGATGAAGGATCACTATTCCCCAGAATCTACTCAATGGAGGGTCACTACTCCCCCGAATCTACTCCATGGCAATGAATAGTGTATATGCCCTCGGGAACAAACAACAAATTTAACAGCAATGAGCATATGAATTTGAGTGAATTATTGTGATATTCATTTTATTATGGTGGTCTGACATTGAACTCATAATATTTCCTAGGTATTTTTATTCTGATAAGAAGATACCATGAATCTGTTATTGTTAGGTGTTATTGAGTCTACGTCTATTCACAGCAACTCTATGAAAAATAGATCTGGTCCTTGTCTATCCTGCACCATCCTCATGATCTCCAAACCTATCGTGCCAATCTATTTTCTACTAATCAATCGATCTCTCTTCTTCCAGGTTGTTTTTTTCTTTTTCTGACTCTCTACTTTTCCCAGCATGGTAGCCACATAGTTTCTGAGGGATCTTTGGACTCCTATTGGGAATCATCAGTGTTCAGGATTTCAAGGCATTTACCAGAAAGCTTGTGTTCCATTTGCAAGTGGCTTTGTAGCACTTCTAATTTAATTGTTGTTGTTGCTGTTATGTATCAAGTTGTAGCTGACTCAGAGCTGACCCTTCAATGAGTTTTCAGAGGCAGTGAACCAGAAGGGAGATGATTGTCCATCCTTCTCCCATAGAGCAGCTGGTGGATTCAAACCACATACCTTTGAGCTGGCAACATAATTCCTTAATACTAAGACACAAGAGCACCCAGTTGTAATGTTAGTAGTCACAATGAGTTGACTAAGCTGGAGTTTAAGTCTTGAGGAAGGAGAAATAGAGATAAAAACTATTACAAGAGTTAAAGATAATTATTTTCAGCAACACTCCCTTCAACATGGAATTTTTGTCCCTTCTCTCACCATCTTCAACTGGTCAACAGGGAATAAAAATAATTCAGGCTTTTATTTCCTGAATTATAGCAAGTGGTGGGGAAATGTACAAGAAGGTACTATATCAAGGTGAGTCCAGTGAAAACTGATGTCTCTAAAGTTAATTCAGTTGCCATGAAGTTGAAATTTCTTTAAGGAAATTCATATCATTCATGTCTGAGGACAGTACACACAGAATTTTTTTTCCCCCCAAGGAAAAGAAAAAGAATCAATTAGAAAAATAAATACCACATCTGTGACATAAGTTAGGACACCAGATGTTTTATTTCATAGACAAACATGAAACAAACTAATAATGAGACATTCAGACTCCATAAAGCTAAGAACCTATTTTTATGAGAAAAGCTGTAGAGACAGTTAAACTTGTATTAAAACCTTATCGCTTCCTTGGACAAATCATCTGAACTTTCCTAGATTTTGGTTTTTTCATGTATAACATACTGATAATCTATCTATCTATCTATCTATCCTTAAAAGAATACTGTGATGATGAAATGAAATGATATATGACCATTAATAGAGTTTTAAAGATTCAAAACCCATGTTTCACACCAAAACATTAAAAATTCATCAAAGCTTTTAATTCCAAAGATGTCTGGGTTGTACAGGTAGTGTTAAGGTGCTTGACTTCTAACTTAGAGGTTGGTAGAAAGATTATAGCCAAGAAAACTCCATGGAACAGCTCTACTGTGTAACACATATTTCCAGTGTCAGGCATATTTATGATCAACTTTCTAGTCACTGGGGCTAAGCACTCTTGTTGATGTCAGATGTTCTGAGTTGAGTACTACTCATAATAACCCTAGCTCTTAGAAGCCTACTAATCCTTCAAATTATAAATTAGACATTTTTGAGGCTTCCTTTTCCATCATTAGCTTAGGAAGAAGGGGTAAGAAAACTTGTTAAATTCAGATAACTGCACTAGTAATGAACTACTAATATTGTGTTTCAAAATGGCCTTTTTGTGAAAGAATACTCTAGGTGTGAATTGTAAGGAATTCACAAATGGCCCAGTGTTGTGGTCAGGGGTGCGTTCATCATATTGGGACTCTTGAATACCTTTTTTCATGATTGTTG